GAACCAGGGAGAAAATGAGAATATTCTTGGCTAGCTGAAACAGATGATTAAATAATCTAAATATTTCTCAAAGGAATGGAACGCTCCAATGGTCTTCTATTTTCTTTACTAAGTATAAGGGAAGAAAATTTTGACAAAAACTACAGAAACCAAAATCTACATACAGAAGAAATCTATTCAGACAAGTCACTGAATATACAATATCTGAATGTGAAGAAAAGCTACTAGGCTGCAAAATTAGTTGTTTTAGCAAAAACAGTAACAACACATCAAGTGAAATTTTAAATTATTAGCCATGTGAAATGTATTGTTATTAAAGATCACTACATTGGAAAACCCCTATAATAAGGCCCTGAATGAAACTACTTTGGGTTACCTAAATAACTGAAATTATATTAGTAAATCCTGTTGACACAACCTTCAAATATATCTGGAAATCTACTTTTTTTTACCACCTCCTTGCTACCACTCTGGTCCTGCCAGGCAGGAGCATCTCCTGTTTCCCAAGTTCCACCCTTGAGCCCCTATTCAATGTATTACCAACAAAGCAACGTAGTCCTGTTACCGTGGAAAGTCAGATCATAGTCCATCTTTGTTCAGAACTCTCTGGTGAATCCTCATTTCTGTCAGAGTATAAGTCAAAGTCCCTCCTCTCCTTTCCTCTCTAACCTCATCTACTATCCACTCTCCCCTTTGCTCACTGCGCCTCAGCCATACTGGCCTCCTTGCTCTTGCTCAAAAGGGCACTTATACTCCTGCCTTAGTGCCTTTACACTGGCTGTTCTTTTACCCAGAACCCTCCTCCTTCGATGTCAGTTAGTGCACTCTCTCTCTCTCCTTCGAGTCCTTGCCAGAGGTCAGGTTCTCAATGTGGTCTGCTTGATCACCCTATTTAGAATTGCAACCCCTTCTCCAGCAGTCCCTACCTACCCCTTTGGCTGCTCTCTTTTTTTCTGTAGTTCTTTTCACCTTCTAACCTACTACACAGTTGACTTCCTTATGCTCAGTGATCAGTGTCTGTCTTCCTGAACTAGAAAGTCAGCTCCACTGGGGCAGTGATTTTGTCTGTTTTGTTCATTGATGTAGCTCCGGTTCCTAGAATAGTGCCTGACACATAGTAGGCACTCGATACATATTTTTGGATGCACGTCTTAAAAAAATACACCAGAGTTCAAATTTACCAATTAGCTAAATGTGAGTATTACATTTACCCATGCGAAACGTATAGATTTCAGGTACTGAAATATAAAGAATATCAACAATAATGTGTGCTCTGTGTTGAAAGTCTGCTTCCCAACTCAACAATGGTGCCTTTTCTGGTGGTTTCTTCTTATTAACTTGCAGTTTCAGAATCACTTCTCTCTTCCCTTCCTTAGAATGTTTCTGGATGCTTCCTCAAAATTACCTGGCATGTGCTTTAGACACAATAAACAAATTTATTAAAATCCAATACAAAACTAACTTTGAGCCTTTGCACACACTATCCTGTTGCTTGAAACATCCTCTCATCCCAGTGTAACTCCGCCATGACTCAAGACTAGGCTCAAATGTAACTTCCTCCATGACGTTTCTCTGACTCTGTCTTTTAATTATATTTACCATCCCGTACCTTGGACGATAATTATTTGTTTTGTCTATCTGTGAAGATGGCCACAAACAAGTTCTCCTATTCTTGTGCACATAGGTTGCTCCTCCAACTAAAAGGTGCAACTTATTTTTCCTCCTCTTGAATCCAGGCTACTCTTGTGACATTTTGACTAACAGAATGCAGAGGACAGGACACAGTGCCAATTCCAGGTCGAGGCTTCAAGAGGCCTGGTAACTTCCATTTTTGCTCCTTTGGTGCCATGAGACACTGTCCTGCTAGAAAAATGGGCCATGAAGGGGGGAGAAAGACAAAGAGAGAAATGTTCTGAATGAGAGACTATGAAGAGGGCCTAGCCAGCTTCCAGCTGTTCTATTCACTTCTGCTGAGATGCCAGAAAAGTGAGTGAAGCCTTTGTGGATACTAACCATGCCGCCTTAGCCAACAGCCTGTGAAACAGAATCAGGCAGTCCCCATCAAGCTCTGCTCAACTGCAGAACTGAGAGCAAATAAATGGCGCTTGTTGTTGCAAGTCACTGTGTGTTATTCCGTAGTAGCTGGTAACAGATACACTATCTCATCTCTCTACTGAGACCATAATAATGCCTTTAGGGCTCCAAGCACAGTATACTGCATTAAGTAGGCACTCGGATATTTGTTGAATAAATCAATCGAATGTAAGTTAGAAGGTGAAGCACAGCATTCAAACATAACTACTTTGGGATTTTATTTGGTTTTGGATTGTCATTATATCAAATACCATGGCTAATCAAAAAGCTGACTATATTATTGAAAGTATTACAGTAGAGTACGCTGTCAATCATTTATCATATGATATTGATATAATTACCTTTCAAGAACAGAATTCAAAATAAAATTGCTTCTTACAACTTAATAACAAAAACCCAATCTGATTAAAAAATGGGCAGAGGATCTGAATAGACATTTTTCCAAAGACAGACAGATGGTACATGTACATGAAAAGATGTTCAACATCACTAATCATCAGGGAAATTCAAAACAAAACCACAATGAGATGTCACCTCACACCTGTTAGAATGGCTATCATCAAAAAGATAAGAAATAATAAGTGTTGGTGAGGATGTATGAAAAAAGGGAACCCTCATATACCATTGGTGGAAATGTAAATTGGTGTGGCCACTCTGGAAAACAGTATGGAGGTTCCTCAAAAAAACTAAAAGCAGAACTACCATATGATCGAGCAGTTCTACTTCTGAGTATTTATCTGAAGAAAACAAAAAACACTAATTTGAAAACGCTAAAAGAAAAAACACTATGTGTACCTCCCACATCACTGCAGCATTATTTACAATAGCCAAGATATGGAAACAACCTAAGTGTCCATTGATGGATGAATGAACAAAGAAGATGTAGTGTGTACACACACACACACACACACGTACACATACACATACATACACAGTGGAATACTACTCAGTCATAAAAAAGAACAAACTCTTGCCCTTATGACAATGTGGATGGACCTTGAGGGTATTATGTTAAGTGAATTAGTCAGATACAGACAAATACCCTATGAGTTCACTTACACGCTGAATCTAAAAATCAGAACAAATGAACAAACAAAACAAAACTCACAGACAGAGAAACCAGAATGGTGGTTGCCAGAGGTGAAGGGGGTTGGGTGGACAAAATGGGTGAAGCAGGTAAGAGGTACAAACCTCCAGCCATAAAATAAACAAGTCAGGGGGATGTAATGTACAGCCTGGTGACTAGTCAATAATATTATATTGCACATTTTGTAACTTTGTATGGTGACAGAGAGTAACTAGACTTACTGTGGTGATCATTTCACAGTGTACACATATATCAAGTCATTATGCTGTATACCTGAAACTAATATAATGTTAAACGTTAATTATATCTCAATTTTAAAAATTTGCCTCTTGAGCAAAAGTGTTTTTAACACAACGCTACTCTATGAACTAAGAATCTGTTTTACACATTTTAAGTTTTCAAATTGTCTTTTTTTTTTTTTTGGCCATGCCGGATGACATGTGGGATCCCAGTTTCCCAACCAGGGATCAAACCCGCGCCCTCTGCAGTGGAAGCACGGAGTCTCAAACACTGGACCACGAGGGAAGTCCCTCAAATTGTCATTTTTGTCATTATATATAAGGAGATATACTTCACTCTGTATACATGCATTTTCTTACATTAATTAAGTGCAAAAGAATGACAGAGCACGTTGCTATCATTGACCATTCCCTCCCCCCTTTATCTTTCTACACTTCTTATTCTCTTTGTTTGCATAACTGAAGAATATTTCCTTATAAAAGTGCTATGTATCCATTGGGCTGTTAATGTTGAGTGGCGATAATAATATCATTTTCCTATTACCACATTTGAAAAGAATAAGACAGTTTACAACTAATTCACACTAATGTGTATTCTGTGCATTTCTCCAATTATTTTTCATTGCTATTATAACATTCTACCAGATTGATCTGGAATTGCTCATGCTTTCCCTCAGCTTTTAACCACAAGAATTTCAGTTAAAATTTCCCAAACGTTATAGAAAATTTAACTAAATTCTACTTAATTTTCTTAACCATTAAAATACATTAAAGAAGCCAGGCCTTTGATAATACATCTTGAGGGAAGGAGAGCGCCATATCTGTGGATGTTGCGGGTTAGAGAGAGGCCAGTGACAAAACAGGAGCACGTGAAAGTAGACAACAGGGCCAGAGAGACCACAGGGGCTCTTAGTGACTCGAAGCCTTGAAAGGGGGTAGGCATCAGGAGGAAGGCCCATGGCTTCCTTTCTTGCATGCCTCCATGTCCTACCTGACACCTTATAAGCCAGGGACTGACAGTTCTCATAAACTTGATACTGGGATTAAACAGGCATAAAGATTGAATAATGGTAATATTCATATTCCTAAGGGTACAAACTATATTGCATTTATAATTACTATTTCAGACTATTTTTAAAAACTCTGCAAAGAAAATAAAATGCTGACTATTCTACATTGCAACATTAAGAAAATATAAGTGTGTGATGAACTTTTACTATATAAACTAAATTCTAATTTCCCCCCAATTAACTTAGTATAGGATATTGTTTGGTTCTTCCTATTTGTTGGATTTTCACACTTCTCTCTTACACACATAATGGCGAAGGAGGAATAACAGAATTTTAGAATGTGTGTACATTTTAATAAAAATAAGGAAATTGAAATGATAAAAAAGTGTTCCTATTAAGAACTAGTACAACTCTCCACATATAAACCAGTTAAACAAATTTTTATTTGTAAGTAAAATTAACTTTAAGATACTCTTTATAAGAACACTAAAGAAAAATTTCTAATTCTTATCATTGCTATAAGTTAGTTTCTATTCACAAATATTAAAGTTAGTGATAAAAATGACTTACCTTCACATCCCTGTGAATTATGTTGTTATCATGACAATAGCGTAGAGCTTCCAGTATCTGTCTCATGTAATGACTGTAGAAAAACAAAAGAAATCTAAAACTGTAAAAAAAAAAAACCCTTATATTTTTAAAACTTAATGTACAGTGTCCCTAGTTTAGAACTCCCACCTTCATACTCACTGCCCACAGACACTTTTCATTTGAGTAGACAAGATTGGTGGAATGTGCACCTTAGTAATGAAAAAGTTGGCAGATGCATAAGTTTATGAGCTTTATAAAGAATTAATGCGTTCTGTATTTTCTGAGATATCTAAGTCAAAGGAATTTCACACAGTTCATAACTAAAATAGCTCTGCAAACTAAAAATTCAAGCTTAAAACATGAAAAAGTTTTCTGACAGTTAATTCTACTTAGTTACACTGGATTGCTATTAAGTGACCAGTGCTCAGAGGTACACCAAGGATTCTGACTAAAGGGGTGGGAACCTTTTATCTGCCAGCAGAGGCTGGCTCTCTGTCTTATTTCCATTTAGCTTTAAGGACAAACAAGAAAGAAGAACACTCTTATGCCTCTACAATTTCTTTTTGCAACATAATCAAGTTTTAGTTGGGGCATCCTTGAACAAAGCAGAGTTCCTTCTGGGCCTAAGTCCTAGGAAGTCAAACTCCTCACAAGGTCAGCAGGGTCCACAGAGGCTCTGCACTGGGTCCAGGTGAAGAACAGAGGAGGAGCGAGCATTTTAAAGAACAGTCCTTAAAAATGGGCTTCCCTGGTGGCGCAGTGGCTGAGAGTTCGCCTGCCGATGCAGGGGACGCGGGTTCGTGCCCCGGTCCGGGAGAATCCCCCATGCCGTGGAGCGGCTGGGCCTGTGAGCCATGGCCGCTGGGCCTGCGCGTCCAGAGCCTGTGCTCCGCAACGGGAGAGGCCACAACAGTGAGAGGCCCGCGTACCGCCAAAAAAACAAACAAAAAAAAGGTAACAGAGTCAACTAGCCACAGGGTGTGACAAGAGCAGTTCATTCAGCATTACTTCAGAACTTACTTCGATTTCCTTCCCTCCATTCTGAAGTTCTTCTGTAATCCCACTGTTTCTTCTTTGAGGGTCTTTTTCATCTTCTCTTCCTCTGAATTTTATTCCCTTCATATCTGTCATTTTCCCCCTACTATCCCTCTTCCTTTCTCACTTTCCCCTTTTCCTTCCCAACTAGCCATGACACAGAAATGCAATATACTTAACATTAATTATTGCTTAGTATTTATTGCATTTTGTTTTTTTCTATCCAGATCTTTTATTCCCCACACTTTAAAATAAAAACTAAATAATTTAATGGTACTTACAAATGACCTTGTGTGTGTGCTTGTGACTCAAGACCAAAAAAAATTTTCTCCACTCCTGCTTTAAAATTAAGACATTTCCATTGAGTTCCCTCTTTGGTATGCTACTATCTAGCCAAACTCACATCAATGTCCCTCTAATTAGCATATGCATTATTTCATGTATTAGAATTGATCAGAAGGTTCTAGTTTAAAAATGAAAGGCAGGGGAAAAAAAACCCCAGGCTTTGTTCCTGTACTTATCATTGTCTCCTCGCAACTGGGCTCTAAGCAGAAGGAGCCAGGCTCCTGCAGTTGTGATGTCCAATTTTTCTTACTTTGCAAATGTACACATGGCGGGTCACGGTCACATACTCTTTGCCTGGGCCAGTGCAGTTGAAATTAACTTTCTGTTTAAGTTAGGGGTTCTTAACTTGGTGTTGTGGCCCTTTCCTGGTTCAAATCATGCTTTGGAGGATCTGTGACCCCCCGAAATGGCAGAGATAACAAGTGTGAAAAACTCTAGTTTCTAAAAACTCTAAAGCATGCTACAAAGGTTAAGTCTATTATTATCAAATTTAGTCAAGATTTAGGAACAGCCTATTTGTGCATCTAGGTGTGAACACTGGAATAGTAGGTAAGTTTAAGTTAGGTAATATGGACCTAGCTTATACCTAACAGCACGACTACTCTGGATACTTAGCACTAGGACAGCCACTTCTATCCTTAGCCTGAAGAAAATTCTAAAAAAAAAATTCTTATCTCAAAAAGAAAAAACCTCAATGAATGAGCATTTTTAAATCCGAATACTCAATTATTTAACCCAAATATACATACATATTAGAATTTCTGTGGGGGCAGGGTAGAATTTTTTTCCCCCAAATATAACATATTTAAACTGATCTTTCTCCACCCTCCCAGTCATGACCCTTGGGAGGCTGTGCATGTGAATAGTGTGCAAGCAGACTACAGAACCAAAATCCACCCATATACATTCTAGAGAGTTGCTGACTAAACTTTAATCAAAAAGCTTCATTTCATGAAGCATCATGGTGGCCTATACTTTCAGAGAAACTCATCAATATCTATGTTTGTCTCCATCCCTAAGGATCAGGAATGATGATAACTCTGTGGAAAGAAAAGAGCTGGCCAGCAATCCTCACTTCCTTTGGAAGGAGGTATTTTGGAGGTGGAAGAAAAGAAGGGAGGTGACTCAGCCTACTCTCTTTGGCAACTCTGGGCAAAAAAAGACTACACTTAAAAAAGCTCTTTGCTAAGCTGAAGAAAGCTTATCTCTGGAATTCCCTTTACAGAATGTTCCTGGCTAAGGACTACCTATGATAAACAGAACCCAGGATCTCTGAGGCATGAATGGCTTCCTGGAAGATGTCATGTAAGCTATATAACTCTCCAGGATACACAATGGAGATGTTTCATAATTTAAATGCTCCCCTCTGTGTGTGGAATCTCACAAACCTCACGTAGAGACCTCATCTATTCTGGGCCAGAGGTGCATTTCTGATGCAGGAAGGAATGAAGTAAGGAGCTGCCCTTAAAAGGCCCAGAGCTCTGTTTGCTTCAGCTGAGCCTTTTGATTGCTCGTATCCTTATAACTGTTTAGTAAAGCCTGGTGCTAGGGAAGAATATCTCTCTGATTTGTGAGAGTTTGATTTGATAATCTGATCCTATATGTTAGCCTGCTCCACAACTCACCACCTCTGAAAGAACAGAGGTAATCACTAATTGGGTTGTAAGGACTGAACGCAGTTTTCTTTCATGTCATGCTTTGCTGCTCCTCTTGACGCTCAGCCAGTTGGAGAAAAACAACATTATCAATATGATTACTTGGTGTCTCAGAGTCTTCTTGCAATTGGTCTCACTAGAATAACTAATGCAAGCTGAATTTTCCAACAAAAAATCACAGAATCAGAGAGAAGGAAGGTAGAAGTCACCTGGTTGAACGCTCTAAACCAAAGGAACGATTTACGTGCCCTTGTTACATGGTCATTGGTACTCTGCAGTAGGGGACATACATAATCATACTTTCTGAGGCCACTCCCTTTTGTCATTTTTAGGAAGGGTTTTTAATCAATTGTGCCAAACCACTCTCTATGCAGTGTCACTTACTGATCCCAATACTACTCTTTTCTGGTCCATTCTGGAAAGTTCCTTTCATAAAATCACCATTTTAACAGCAATATAGGTAGATCTTAAAATCAACAGGGTTGATTGATATACAATCATCTTGATATATATAAACATCTAACTTTTCTATAAATCTCAAGATTGGGAGAGAACTCAAGTCATTTCACTGTATGACATCACCTCTACAACACTACTATTCTCCCTATCCTAACATCTAGTCCAGTGGCAGAGACAGGCTCAAAGTTAAGGAAAAGTGATAGGGATTGAGTAGGGAACAGAGTAAAAGTGTTACTGGTTTAACATCAACTCTGACAGCCTATATGCCAGGTACCCCAGTGTTTTTGTGGTTCCAAAAGGAAAACGTCATCTTCCTCCATCAAGCTTCACTATTTTATAAAATCAACATCTAGAATTTTTAGTTTTCCCTATTTGATGCTGCTGTTGAAAGATATCAATATGGGAAAATACAAAACTCAAATTCTTTTTTTTTTTTTTGTGGTACGCGGGCGTCTCACTGCCGTGGCCTCTCCTGTCGCGGAGCACAGGCTCCGGACGCGCAGGCCCAGCGGCCACGGCTCACAGGCCCAGCTGCTCCGCGGCACGCGGGATCCTCCCAGACCGGGGCACGAACCCACAACCCCTGCATCGGCAGGCGGACCCCCAACCACTGCGCCACCAGGGAAGCACCAAACTCAAATTCTTAAAGAAATAAATATGAACAATGATATGCAAAAGTCTGAGAGTTTCATTTAGTAGAAGAAAGTGGTTTACCACTGTGTCATAAGAAAAATCAAGACAGCATTGACTACTTTTGGTATTAAAGAATGCTTTTTAATTCTGAAACACAATACAAAATAAAAATTTTAAACTGTGATAAGAATTCAAAACAAGAGTAAAATGGGATTAAAAAAAAAGAAAACCCTAGAATATGCTTCAGTGAACATGGCACAAAAGAAAAAGGATATTTAGCCTCAGTTCTACCATGAATACATCAGGAGTTAAAAGAAGGAATTAAAGTTAGTATATATAAACTCTCATTTGCTTCTTCTCCCTAGCTCCAGGAGTACAAAACAGCAGCTACCTACAATTGAGTATATTCTTTATCGTGTGTTATAGCTATGGCTGCTCCATCTCCTGAGACTGGGGACCTTGCTTCTCAGTGAGGAGAAGGCAGGGCAAAGAATTTGAAGAAAGTTAAGCCATTCTAAGCTTAAAGTCGCATGAAGTAGTCTCTAAGCTATTTTCAGTCATATCTGTCCATTGTGCCATAATTATAAAAAGAATGATAGGAGGGAGAAAGTTATAATCATTTAATGGTAACTATTTCTCAAATGGTAGAAAGTTTTAATAAATCCTAATGGGTTTGTGGGTTTGAACCCTTCAACATACTATGGTTAGTGACTGAGGAGGGATGCTGTACCCCAGGTATTAAAAAGGCAATTTATTGGAGTGGGTATTTATGATATGGTTGTCACCAAAACAGAAAGTTGTACTGCTTCAAATCTACAAGCAAGTGGCCCAGTGCATGGCTCTTGTGATTTTTCATATTAAATCCTTATTTTGAGTCATTAGTTCTTTACAAGAACTCCTACACTTGGAACAATGGTGGCTACTTGATTGGGAGATCAAACACTGGCCTGAAGCAAATATATTCAGCAGAAAAACTGTGCTTTTATTTCTGTTCCTTCTACTGTTCTATGCTTTTTCTCAGATTAACTGGTCACCTAACAATTTGCTATCACTAGAAGGCAAACTGAAGAACTAATGAGGCACATCTGCTAAAAACCAAAAATCAAACACACAAAAAGACCCAAGTTTAGTTCTACACGGTTCCTGAGCTATCAAATTCCTCCTTGTATAAAAGTCATCAGAAACAGAAAAGACAGCAGTAGTGAAGTTAAACTGTAAATCCATATAAATAGATCAATTCATTGTTCAATATTTTGCATTTCCAGTCACTGTTTGGTTCCACTAATGCACATTAAAAGAGAGATGCTCCTTGTAAGAAAGAGTGGCAGTATGCTCGTCATCAGTTCAAAGAGCAGGCCACTTCATGTGATTTCCTTGTCATTTCCTTCTTTTACTTCTACCTTTACTTCTGGGGAGTTCATACAAATTACATACCTGGCCACAGCTTCACTGTATACAAAACCAGCGTCAGCTCGTTTTACAATTTCAAAACACAGATCCGCTCCATCCATACTGTAGAGAAATGTGAAAAAGAATATAAGGAAAGAGAAAATTTCAGGAAGTAAACATTGAAAGTGAATACATTGTAACTAAGTTTTTAGTTGACTTACAGCTAAAGATTATAATAAATTATTTAAATCTCCTTTCTTTTGATGAAAAATAGACATAAATTATAAAGGACATTATAACCATCTTAACACTGAAAATCTACAGGGGGAAAAAACAGGAAGAACAAGCAAATGGTAGCATCAAATAACATAAAGTGTGGGAAACTGCCTATAAATTTTCTTTAGGTTATCACAACAAAAAGTCTCAGAAAAGGGCAATGTTGGGGGTTGTGGCATATTTTTGAATCAAATTCCAAAATTGTATCTAGTCACATCATGTAATATTTTAAGAATACAACAACGATTCTAAAACATTTAGCTACAGTTATCGCCACTAAAAGGGAATTCAAGCTATATACTGTGAAAGGAAAAAAATAATTAGCTAATCCATGATTTATTTTTGTTTATACTTCCATTACCAAAGTTAACTGCTACAAACATACTCTAACACACTGATGTGCTGGTGACGCAGGGTTACTATCTTGCCTCCAAACTTAAAATGGTTCTCTATCTCTCACCAGATCAGTAAGGTTTCTTGTTGTCTCAGCCATACCTTGCTTCTTCTACCTACCCTGTCTAATGACTTTTCAAGAATAACTCACTCTCTACGCAGATTAGTCTTACACTACTCCCTGAATATACCATTTTGTTTCTTTTTCTGCCACACATTTCTGTATATAATGTTTCTCACACTCAAAACCTACCTTAATTCAAGGTTCCATTCCAATCTCACCTTCCCCAGGAAGGCCTCTCAACGATTACCAGTCACATTAAGGCCTTCTTTTGCTTAAATTCTATAACAACTCTTATATAGCCCATATTATAACATTTAGCACTTACACAGAAACATATTTATGTGTATACATGAAACTTTTGCTAACTTTTGTTAGCTAACATTTTCATAATGCTTTAAGTCTTATAAAGTGTTTTCAAATCCAGTATCTCATTCATTCGTTTATGTAGTAGCTCAGGAACCAAAATACCTGTTGCAGGTTTTATACTGAGGAAACAGACTTCCAGAAGGGAAAGCAAAGGAACTAACTATTCATTACTATTACCTATAATTAATAACTAATCCATTAATAATAATTAATAAACATTACTAACTAATATTACTATTCATCAAGTATCATGGAAAGCATTCCTTGTTATATCTCCCTTCATTCTTACCATCATCCCATGAGGTCAGCATCCTTCTCGTTCTCAAACAAGTTGTCTAAGTGAGTAGACAAGTATGTTACAGGGACAGAATTCAAATCCCTATCTATATTTAATGTTCTTTCCATTATCTACAGCTACACCTACTAGGTGTGCAAGGAACAAATGTACACATTCAAGCTCAACAGTTCAAAAATAGGGTGAAGTCCTAAAGAACAAGTATATTTTATATTTTCAACATACTCCCACCCAAAACCTGGCAGAATACTATGCACACAGTAAATATTTAATGAATAGTTTATTTAAATCTTGGTGTGGTTTTACGTAAATGAAAATACTTTCACATTTTTACAAGGCTTTACAAATTTTACCTAGTTTTCCTTTCACAGCCAACGAACTTTTTCCAACGTCAAATAGGATTTTTCTCCAAAATAATTTTTATGATGGCTCAGTCTACTCTGAAGTATGGCAGTGCCCATTTTGCACAATCAGAAATAAAGCCCGGATGAACACGATCATGTATCTTTGTGAACAACCCTGATCATTTGCTGCAGTATAAGTCCTACCAGCAGAGTTGCTAGGTCAAGGGGCACAGACAATAATACTTTTGATACATACACTACTGGAAATATTTTAACAATTTATACTGCCACTACTGGGTGTGAAAGTGTTCTTTCCTCTACCTTGCCTCTATTAGGATGACTATTCTTTTTAATCTTTGCCAATCAGATAGGAGGAAAAAAAGTCACTCATGATTGCTTTCATTTACATTTCCTTGCCTACTAAAGAGGCTGAATATTTCTCATTTCTTTGTGTTGTGGGGAGAAAAAAAGCACTATTTTTAAAGCTGGCTGCAGTTTAAGCTGGTTGGTTGATCTGTGAAGACTAAAAACACACAGTGAGGGAATTACAGTTTTGTTTAGGCATTTTCCTTTTTAATTGCGAAATGTGAGGATAAGCACTATTCAACTTAGAAGAGAGAAGAGTTAGGCAAAGGAGAGAGCTAAATTGATTGCATCATAAAGCAATAAGAATCCTTAGAGCTAGAGGGAAGGCTTTTTTGGAGGGATCTGGAAGGGGGAAAAAAATCTTAAGGGTAGGAGAAAGTACTAAGGTGGTGAGAGGACAACACTTAAGGAGGGAACCAGTCAGTGGGAAATAACTGGAAATTGCTTACTGCCCTGTTCTACAATCACCAGCATGAATCGACTCATTTTTCATGGACATATCTGAAACACTAGTACTTGAAGTGACAATTTCTACATTTACATATACACACACCAAGGTATTTTTAGGTTTCTACTCTTTTCCACTATTTTTGTATCTAGTCCCATACCATTTTTAATTCTGCAATAGTATATTTTAATATTTGGCAAAATAAGTCTCATTTCATTATTATTCTTTGTAAACATTTTCTTATGAGTTTTTTCTCCCAGCTGAACTTTAAAATCAGTTTCTCAAACGCTAAACATTTTTTATATTTTGGCTGAAATAATATTATATTTATAGATTAACCAGCAGAAATTAACATTTTCTTAATATTCTCATCCTTGAACATGATACACCTCGCCATTTCCTTTCATGTCTCTAAGTTATAGTTTTAAGGTTTTCTTCACATTAGTTCCAAATATTGATTATTGGGTTCCCCCCCAAGGCATTTTATATTTTTAGTTGCTATTATAAATGGGATCTTTTGGCTATTATACATTTTTTTAATACAATGGTTCATAACCAGGGGTACCAAAAAAAAAAAAAAAACCTATGGAACTTCTGAAACATGCCGGCATGCTCTATGAGGGTTTAGTCTGAAAATAAGTCATTACTGTGAAAGTTAATTTTCTATTATTAAAGCTAGTTGATTAGCTAATTGCAACACTAATTGATATTAAAGTAAAAACGGCAATCCATTAATTTTAAATTTTATGAGATACAGAAATAACTAAAAATACTGCTATTCATGCAAATTTTATTCATCACAGAAACTTAAAATATACATATTCATAATGCATACAATCCTAATATAATAACCTTGAACAAAAAGTTCAATGTCTTAATTCTTTGATAAACTTTATCTGATAATATGATTTTAAAAACAATTATGGGACTTCCCTGGTGGCACAGTGGTTAAGAATCCGTCTGCCAATGCAGGGGACAGGGGTTCAAGCCCTGGTCCAGGAAGATCCCACATGCCATGGAGCAACTAAGCCTGTGCGCCACAGCTACTGAGCCCGCGTGCCACAACTACTGAAGCCTGCATGCCTAGAGCCCGTGCTCCACAGCAAGAGAAGCCACCACAATGAGAAGACTGCGCACCACAACGAAGAGCAGCCCTCACTCGCTGCAACTAGAGAAAGCCCGCACACAGCAATGAAGACTCAACACAGCCAAAATAAATAATGAATAAATAAACAAACTTTAAAAAACCAATTATAAGGCTTCTTCTATTGTTTTTCGCTTTGGCTTCCCATCTTAGTGTGTTTCTGGATCTGCCAAGAAGCTTCAAGAAGCATGTTCTGAATTTCCCCAGTTGGTTCCATTCTGAGGGAGTAAATGAGACAGAGAAGAAACCCTGCTAAGGAAGAGTATGGGGAATGCTTCTATACTATACACAGAGAAAAACTATGGGAGGTTTACTCTGAATTGTGAAAAGTGATGGGATTATGAATGATCTTACCTCCCCCACTTCATCTATCTGAATTTTAAAAATTTTGTAATAAACATGCATTACTTATAAAATTTTTAAAAACTTTTCACAAACAAATGCTCCAAACAAACAAAACAGATCACAGGTCTAGAGGCACAAGGTATGGCTGGCTGTATGTTGAAGGGAATCAGAATATGCCACCCCAAATATGCCACTTTAGTACAGGATTATTTTGAACTGAAGGCAATCGAAAATCAGCAGATACAGGAAGAATGCTGTACTCTCCTCCATTCTGCCTAGAAACAGGACATAAATTTCCCTTTGTAAAGGTGACAGAAATTTCCTTTTGTAAAGGTGTTCCCCTCTCATGTACCAGGAAGAAGAAAACTACTCTTACCTGTGTAATAAACCTTACTAAATAACTCTTATTTACCATATATTTTCCGATCACCTTCCCACAATTTACCCCCAACCCCAGATGCCCAAACTCCCCCCTTCCCTTGTCTAGTCTCTTTACTTTCACTGTTAAAATGGTATATAAGCCTCTGGGTCTCTGTGGCTTTCACTTTTTTCTGTGAGCATGTCCCCCACCCCCCATGTGCGAATGAAAATCTTTTCTCCTGCTTATCTGTCATTTGCCAGTTTAATTTGCAGGCCTCAGTCATATAACCAAAAAGTATAGAGGAAAGGTTTTTTTCCCCCTCTACAATGTATTCTGCAAAAGCAGAGAAAGAGGAGGTTTGTAGGAGACTTGTACCTGATTGTACGAAGAAGTGTTTCTCAAATTAACTGTGGTGAAGGACTAGCTTTTTCCCCCCTCAGGTATTTTAACAACTAATACTTTTTACAACATACAAAATCATGTGCTACGATTTCACAGCAATGTCAAATTACTCTAACAGTTTCTAGACGTTTAGTCTCAATTTCTGTTCTTATCTCATTATAGAGGGGTAAATGGCTGGTAGATTGGAATGTGTCTGCAAACTATTCTTTGAGAAACACTGTAAAGGACAGATCAAATCTGGATTTCTCTGACCAGCATTTCCCCTGAAGGTGACAGAAACAACTACAAAGACTGCATGAAATAAAAAAAAAAATTTTAA